TCCATTTTTATATACTTACTGTATTATTTTCACATACACACAATATTATTTTTATGTACCTATAGTCCTCGATATAATTTTAATTAATTTGGTCTAACCTACTTTCTCTTGGCTGGCCAAGGACTAGTCTAAACAGATTAAGACTCTCAATTCAATTGATTATTAATATTACTTTATAGAAAAAATGATTATTTTAGTCCCTTAATTATGATATAATGGACAACTTAGTTCCATATTATATTTGTAGTGCCATTTAGTTACTGAATTGTCCATTTGGAGGTCCTTTTACACATGATTGAGCTTGCTTCTTCTTCCTTTTTTAAAAATAATAAAATAAAAAATTAACCAATTAGACTTACTACAAATTTTCCTTTCAAAAAAAGAAAAAAAAAAAGACTTACTACAAATTTCCAAAACACAATTTCCTTTTTTTTTTTTTTCTTTTTTCCAATTTCAAGTTTTAACATGTCATTCTCATTCTCCTTTTTATCAAGCATCTTCAATAACGCTCTGATAATCTTCACAACACACTCATAAACATTTATATTAATCCGGAAAATTATGATGTGCATCCGTATGCACCATGCATGGTGCATACGAATGCAAAAACGACGTCGTTTTATTAAAAACGTGTCTCACTTAAAAAAAAAAAAAAATCAGTTTCGATTCCCAGCAACAACATATGAACTAAAATTCCAGAATTGATGAACTAAAATTCCAGAATCGATGAACTAAAATTCCAGAATCTAATCCATGAACTAAAAATTCCAGAATGAATGAACTAAAATTCCAGAATCTATGAACTAAAATTTCAGAATCGATGAACTAAAATTTCAGAATCTATGAACTAAAATTCCAGAATGAATGAATAACATAATGCTGTTGATGGGAATCGAAACTGATTTTTTTTTTAAGTGGAATGCGCGTTTTTAATAAAACGACGTCGTTTTTGCATCCGTATGCACCATCATACGGATGTACATCATAACTATCCACCTAAACATCCCATAATACTCTTTCATTAACAAATACAAAATTTGGATAAATTTGTATTAACCACTTCTCAAAATTTTGAACAATGCAAAAGGTAACTGAAGTACTCACATTAGATAAAATAAACACTTACTTTTTGTGGAATGCTCGGAAACATTTACTTGAAGTGATATAATTTCAAGACATCCTAATTGGTAAGTGCATCCTTACATCTACACCGAAATTCTTAATACCTTTCAAAAGACATACAATTTGAAACTTGGGACATCTTTTAATCAATTAAACTTCAAACATATACCTGTAACTTTCTTGGAAGATGGATGTTTGAATTTTCAGAGTAAAATTACCTCAATAATGGTAGATAATGGAATACAATATATGACTGTTGTGGTAGTGATTGAAGAAAAGAAATATCTAAAAAATGTACATTATTGTCCTTTTAATGTATCGATTATTACAAACTATCGTTAGGTTTGAACAAATATTTGACATGAGAGACTAATTAAAAGGCTCAAAAAAATGAGGGACTAAGTTGTCCATTATGCCACAATTCACGGATTAAAAAAAAAACTATTTCCATTACTTTTATATATATATATATATATATATATATATATATATATATATATATATTACAAAATAAGGCTTTGTAATATTTAATAAAATTAATTTAGAAAAAATATTATGCTCCGAAAGTAGTGGCTGAGTGGAATTAGCATAATTCTCCTACTCTTTGGGTTGAGCTGTGGAGCCTATTATATATACTTTTTTAAGTGTAATTTATCTTTCATATGTGATTTGCCACCTATTACATAAAAATAAATTTATCCAATATATATTATCGAATAGTAATTACGATTTTCTTCTCTCCCAATTTAAAAAACATACAAATAATACTCAAAAGTATAACTCCAACTTTTAATTATGATAAAATTTATATTTTATTTTAAAAATTATTTCACACACAATTTTAAAGTTTGGTAAGTAATGTATTACAATTTACAAATATAATTAATTAGACAATTGATTAATTATACTTACATTATGAAATATTTAATGGTGTAAGGACAATTTGATATGAAAATATTAAAATATAACATTTTAAATATAATGTACAACTTAAAAAGCATAAAAATAAGGTACAAGTGTCAAATAGGTCCATGTACAACTGCGAAGTGCTCAATTCCCACCCTGAACTTAATTAAATGTCAAATAGGTCTATCTACTAGTTAAATTTGTTCAATTACCCTTTTTTACAGGTTATTTGGCCTTTTTTACAGGTAACCAACATGTTGCATATTTAATTATTAAAATAAATAAATAAAATAAAATAATTTAAATTAAAAAAAAAAAAAACAGCCACGGTTCCTCGGGCCCAAGAGGATCGTCGAGGTCCATCAAGACATCATCGGAGTCTGGGGTGGATGTGAGGGCGGACGGCGACTCATAATCCAGTGACTCATAGCACCAATACGTGAGGATTCTGAAAGGGCTGTCGGGGGGATTGGACAGGGTTCGATCGAGATGTTTCTTCACAAAATTTCTACTGGAGATTAAATCGTGCCAGGATTTAGAAACGCATTTGCATCTTCCTAGTGGTTTGGGTGGCAACCTCGAGAGGATCTCTTCAATGGCGTCTTGCGGCAGCTTTCTCATATCCATTATCTATCTATCTTTTGTTGTTCGTTGCTGATATGATGTTATCCATTAAGAAGCTAAGCTTGAGATTTTAATGGCGAATTTGTTGACTTCTTCGCCTGCGCTAGCTTACTCGAGAAGAAGTGATGTTTTCTCATATCCGGACAGCCATGACCTCATATTAGACAACCGTGGCTGTCCGGCTGTCCTCGCCGGACAGCCACGGCTGTCTTTGAAAGGGCAGCCACCGGCTGTCCGGCGAGGACAGCCGGTGGCTGTTATTACTTTTTTTTTTTAATTTTTTTAATTCTTTTATTTTATTTTATATATTTATTTATTTTAATAATTAAACAGGCAACCTGTAAAAAAAAGTCAATTGAACAAATTTAGCTGGTAAATAGACCTATTTGACACTTAATTTAGTTCAGGGTGGGAATTGAGCACTTCGCAGTAGTGGATGAGCCTATTTGACACTTGTGCCTAAAAATAATTAATACTTTCATAATGAAATATTTAGTGGTGTAAGGGAAATTTGGTTGAAAATATTAAAATACATTTTTAATATAATGTACAACTTGAAAAGCATAAAAGAAGTAGACATAATTCATTATTATATTTGGGAGAAGATAGTTATTATTGTATTATTTCACACATAATTTAATATGGAGATATCTCATAAATTCTTTCATAATATGACTTATAATTGATGGGTAGAGAAAAAAAAAATAAGTGTGTGAGACCATTTCATTTTGAGACGTGAAACGTGAAACACTTTATTGGGGAAGAGAAAAGTTTGAATGTTGAATAACATAACTCTTAATTTTTCTAAGCCCTAATGTTAATGACAATTTGAGATCTATGATAAGCAACATTCTAGAGATTGGAGGGATAGGGAATTCTAGAAATTATATCGGCTTACCGTCACTAGTAGGATGAAACACAAAGGAGATTTTAGGGTTCTTTAATAATAACGTTCTTAGCAGAATCAGTAGCTGGAATCACAAATTCTTATAAGTGCCGGAAAAGAAGTTCTTATAAAAAGTGTGATACAAGCACTACCTTCATATGCTATGCGCGTATTTCAAATACCAAAGGAGATTGCGAGAGAAATCGAATGTGCTATGAATGCTTTTTGGTAGGGGTAAAATATGGCAACCGCAAGGATATTCGATGGAAATCTTGAGCACACCTTTGTATTCCCAAAGATTGGGGTGGTATTGGCTTTCAGAAACTCGACCTCTTTAACATCGCACTATTATGCAAGCAAGCTTGGAGACTCATTCAATTCTCCTCGTCCCTTGTTGCAAGAGTCTTCCCAGCAAAATACTACCCAGGCTCCTCATTTTTAGATGTTAGGAGTAACAACAACCCATCATTTATTTGGAACAATCTCTTAACCACTAAGGAAATCATCATAAATCATAGCCAGTGGATGATTGGTAATGGTAACTCCATTAATATTTGGAGAGACATATGGCTTCATGATCCCTCAAATCCACATATCACCACACCACCTTTCCCTTTTTGGAAAATGATGTTATTTCCTCCCCTCTCAACAACCAGGAGCAAAGTTGGGACGTGGACACAATTTAGAATATATGTAACCATCGCGACACCAATCTCATCACCAACATTCCCATGCCCATGTTCAAAAGAGATGATAAACTAATTTGGATGAGGGAAGGCTGAAGTCACTTTGCAGTTAAAAGTTGTTACAACTTATAAGGCTCTACTTTCAAAAAAACTTACAAGGCTCTTGTGGATGAGCAGAATACTGATAACAAGAAAGATTGGGGCTCAATATGAAAAAGTAATGTCCCTTCCAAGGTAAAAACTGGTTTATATATGAGAATAAAAATAAATGCAAAAGCAAGCACCATTTACACATATTATACTCTGTAATTACAATTTTAACATAATACTAACAACAGAATTAAGACTTAAACACATATAATTTATTATTACTAAATTTATATTCAAGTATTAATTTTGTTACTAGCATAATTTAAAATTATAATATAATATTTGTAAATAGTGTCTTTTACTTATTTTACTATTATTTTTAATAATCTAAAAACATATTTAAAATTGAACAAAAAATGTCAATTTTAAAAGAATGGAAGGAACAAATATAAATGTATGAATAATTCAAGAGGAAAAATACTATAACATATTAAGGGGAAAAGTGTAATTTTCACTATATTTGATCAGAGACATTAAGGCCATCTCCAAGGCCCTTCGCCTCCAAAACAAAAATTCAAAAATCCTATGAAGAGCTTTGGCGACAATTGGCAGTTGATTCTTCAGAGCGCGACTTAGAAGCGCATATGGATTTTGTTTGGTATGGAATGGAATTAATCACGCAAAAAGCAGAAGAATCCAGGCCGGATTACACGGATTCCAAACTCAACATTGTACAACCACGCAAAAATGAGCAGGAATCCACACACAAACCGTTCGTTACGTTCTTTATCAACTCCAATTCAGCATTTCTTTATCCGCTTTGTCAACTCCAATTCAGAATTTCTTTATCGGCTTTGTCAACTCCAATTCAGCATTTCTTTATCCGCTTTGTCAACTCCAATTCAGAATTTCTTTATCCGGATTTACATTTGCTGGATTGGGTGTCTGTGGGTCCTCTTTTCGAGTGAAGTACAATTTGGGTTCTTTAGTTCTAGGGTTTTCAGTCTTGATTGAAGGGGAGAACTCTGTTTGCTGAGAATGATGGCTTCTCCTGCTGCTGCTGCACCTCTTCCATCACAAAAGGAGCTTGAGGAGATGCTCATTGAGTCTGGAATTGAGCTCTCTACACCTCCTTCATCCACTGGCGAGCTTCTCAGCCTCCTTGAAGTAAAATTCTTTCCCGTTTCTTTTGCATATAAAGGTTCAATTATGCTTGGATTGGTTTTCATTGATGGGATTTGTTCACCAGGCAAATGATTATAAAATTTTAGGGTCTCTTTTCCTGGCTGAAAGGATCAATTCTTATGTTGTTGTTGTTCTGTCTACGTTTTATTTAGAAATGTTTATGCTTTCATCTCTAGTTTATTCATATACGTTTTTAGGAACTGACATGTTGAATTACACACACACATCCTCAAAACTATAGTCCTCATGAGGACATTATATATTTACTACTGTTGTTTTAACTCTTGTGTTGCATTGCATTTTCTTTTAGAAAGTTGAATCAGAACTGAAGAGCATAGGGCAAGACCCTTCAGTGTCGACGAGAAATGTACTTGAGCCAATTAAAAAAGCGCTGATTGAAACGAAACTTCTGAGACATTCTGGAAAAATCATTGAGGTTTCTGTTGCATCTTGTATCTGTGAAATTATGAGAATATCTGCACCCGTTCTACCCTATGATAATACAGAAATGGAGGTATTTAATACTTTTTATATGTTCAAAACTAAGGCCAGGTTGCAAACAATTTTAGTATTTATTTATTTATTTATTATTTCTTTCTACTTGAGCAGTCTAACATATATCATATATGTGCATCTATGTTTAAAAAATATCATCTTTTGGTTCTCAGGTCGTTTTCCATCAGATTATAGCATCCCTTGAAAAGTTATATTACATTGATAGTAACTACTATAGTAAGGCCCTGAGAGTTCTTGAAGCGGTTGCGAAGTACAGGTTGTGTGTGATGCTATTGGATTTTGACTATGTGTTAGCTGTTAACGTTTTCCAACTGTTTCTCAAAATCATCAGGTATTTTCTAGTTGTTCATATCATATAGCGTATAATTTTGATATTTTCACCAAGTCAGTTTCCTTGGAAGCTTACACACTATAGTATAATATTCTGCTACATTGTACATTTGTACTCTTTAATGAGTCTATAGAATTGACCCTTCACTTTTTATCAAGCGTCGAGCATACCGATTCTGTATTAAGATACATGGTGGACATCATGTCTCAGCTCATAGAAGAAAGAGATGAAGTCTCACTAGATTTTCAAGTGTCCATTCTTGATAGCCTAAGAAAGGAAACTCTGGTAATAATCACTATGCAAATATTGATGCTATCTCCAAACATTGTTTTCAATTATTTGATTAACTAGGTATGTTTTTATCTAGGATACTGCACCTTGTTCAACGGTATTGGGAAAAGAAGTCTTGGAAAAGTGTGCTGCCAGACTGAAGCCTTGTCTTTTTGAATTAATGACAAATATGAACATGAATTTGGATGATTATTGCAAAGTACTTGGCTGAATATTGCATGAAGTTCCTGAGGGAGAAAACATGGTATCTATGTGTTTGCGTATTTTTTATTAAACATGTTGACTTCCTACTGTAGTATTTCCTTTGAAGATCAGAAGATGTTTATAGATTAAGATAATTTGGGTGTGTTCAGCGTATGCTCTTGGATAGAATGAGCAGTTGGAATCTGTAGAAGGCTAGAAGCTAGGTGAAGGGAGTAGACATTAAGAAAGACGTACTATTGCAAGAAGTTATGACTGATGTAGCATTAATAAGAATGAAATGGAGAAACAGAATCCATATAACTGAACTTAACTAGGCTAGGATTGGTCGAGTTGGGTTGAGGTTATGCTCTCAATCTTCAAAACTTTGTTATCTATTATTTGCTGTCAGCGTAAGGTTTGGTAGTCAAGAGATGCATTAATTTTGGGGAAAATTGTAATTTTGGTCCTTCAGTTATAGCCACGGTACAAACTTAGTCCCTGTGTTATATGCGTGACCATCTTTAACCCCTAAGTTATGCACGAAGTGGAGATTATAGTCCCTCAGGGACTTTCTACCACCAATTTGTCACTTACTAAAATGGCTGATTTTGTCCTTCAAGGACTCAAATTGCCACTCTATGCATCACTTAGGGGTTAAAGATGGTCACGCATATAACTCAGGGACTAAGTCTGTACCACAAGTATAACTGGAGAACCAAAAATGCAATTTTCCCTTAATTTTAAAATCATAGAACCATTTATCCTTAAAGAAGAAGTCTTTAATACTGTCTAGATTGAAGCCATGGTCATCTGATCTGCTTGTTTTATGCTGTCACTTGCCATTCTACATTGAGATATGATGAATATGATATTCTTCTGTGTTTGTGGGAGGAGGGGATTTCCTTCTAATGGATAACAATCTAATTTTTCATTTTTTCGTGAATGATCAGGTGGAAAATGCTGGTTCTGTACCATATGTAGAAGGAACATCTGCTCTTCAACTTCCTCAGGTACCACTACTGGATGCCACTCCGACAATGAATAACAATAACATTAACCTGGAACCTGATGGGTCATTGAAGGCATTAAACAATCGCAATCAGGCTGAACAGCTAAAAGATACTGATGCACCGTCTGATCCCATGCATAAAAATACAAAAGAGTTGCAACAACAAATGGATTTGAGTGCACTGTCAGAGAAGATAAGACCTGATAAGGGACATGATTCTTTTGGGATGAACGAAAGCAAACGCTCTGGTGAAGAACCTACTATCAAGAAGGAACAAGAGAATAAATCTTGGAGTTCATTGGACATTAATGCAACTTCAATTGTGTTAGCATTGCCAGCTGTAACTGGAAAGGAGTCTGTGACTAAGCCTGATGTGTTAGCCCCCAGCAGCACAAAAAGTCCTTGCAAAAGGGGCCAACGAAAGAAGAATCAGACAGATCTCACCGTGCAAAAGAGATATGAAGGGACTAGGTCTGCCCAGAGAAAACTTAAAGAAAAGGTACTACTGTAATGGTGCTTGCAGATTCTCTAGATTTCTGGTTAGAGTAATCTTTGTGATTCTATCTATTCAGTTTGCTAATCATTGTATTTCTGCATTGCCTTAACCCATAACTAATTGGTTTGCATCTCTTTACTGTTTTCTATTAAAACTTAAATTTCCATCTGCCTCTTTCTCTTCTATCTCTAATTAGTACCATATTAGTGGTTTAGGATATCTTACTGCTAAATTCTGTCCTCTATTATGTATTCCAAGAAAATAAAAAAAAAATTAGGAACTTAGTATCATATTCTCCTTCTTGCAACCAGTGCACCCCTAGACATATGTTAAACTTGGGGTATCTCAACAGTAAATCCTTTCCACCGTAAGTGTACCAAAAAGAATGCATAAAAGGTAATACTATATTATTGCACTTTCCAACGAGTGTGTTGATTGTGAGGGATTGAAAAGCCTAGTGGGTGGTGACTAAGCGGAAGCAAAAATGTGAGAATACTTGGAATAGAGAGAATATATGATTATGTTAATAATAATAATAAATTGTCTCTCTATGTTTCTTGAACGGTATAGAGTGTATAGAGATTCTATATTTATAGAAACATTGGGTTAAACCACTCCTACCTTGAATAGGAAATCAAGATTACTCCTAATAGGAATAGGACTAAGGCTTCCTATTATTCAACACTCCCCTCAAGCTGGAATATCTAGAAGTTCCACGCTTGAATTAAAACAAACACTCCACCTAACTCAAAATTACAAATGAAGATTAAATGCCGCAAGAGGATAATAGCGTTGAATGTTGTCGGAAGTCATAGCACTATACACAACCCTTGGAAATGAAGTTGAAAGTATCAAGGATGGATTTGAACATGAACAAGCTCAAGGTAACAAAGTGACACAAACACTCTTGAACAAATGTAAAAAAGCCTTCATCAAGAGAAGTAGAGGTGAAATGGAGCAGGAGCAATAAATTGGTACATATGGTCCATAGCAATGAAGATAGCGAAAGCGATAAAGAGAAGCTCCATAGCAATGGAAGAACAAAACATGCGTGGTTCATGGTAATACTCCCTATGCCCCCCTTTCTTGAAACTTTAGAAATAATAAATGGCCTTTGGACATAAAATATTATAGTGCCGATTGCCGAAATTAAACACCCTCAGGGAACAAATAAGGCACACTGAAAATGAAGAAGCAAATACGGTAATACCAAAATTGAACTCCCTCAGGAAAGAAACTTGACAACGGATCCAAAAATCCTTTAAATTTCATAAAAGACCAAAATTTAGCGAAAAATGGACAATGGAACACCATTGGCGATTCTTAGAACAAGAACCTATGCAAGACAGTTGGAAAAGTTGATTTCACATATCTCACTATGAGAAAGAGTTTTGAAGCAACTAGGCCTTCCAAGGAAAATTGTGGGAGGAGTCATCTCTTCAACGAAATCATCACCAAAATATAAGCACAAGAACTAAACACTTGAGGAAGCAAGCTTTAAACAAAGGAATGGTACCATTGTAATGTTTAGTTCATGCAAGAGTGAGGCATCTCCTAGTTTGACTGTACGTATAAAGAAGAAGGAAAAAGAAATAGCCAATGATGCAGACTTGCAGAGAAGTCATCTCTTCAACGAAATCATCACCAAAATATAAGCACAAGAACTAAACACTTGAGGAAGCAAGCTTTAAACAAAGGAATGGTACCATTGTAATGTTTTATATGAAGGGTCATATTTTTAAAGTTTAGGTTTCTTACTTGTATATATACTCTGTTGTACCAACCATTTGAATATATCAAATCCAAGTATCTTTCTTCACATGGTAACAAACTAGGCTCCTTTCACCAACAAACCGTTCTTGTCTCGATGCATCTCTGGCTGTTGTTTGAAAAACTAACGCCACAATCTTACTCAGAAGTCAGGACGACGTTACCGTGAAGGGCTATCGCAACAAACTCAACTTTGCCTTAACCCGTATTGAATTGATTGCATTTCATTATGGTCCTATGATTATTAGGGTGTTGTCAATTTCAGTCCACAACTTTCAAAACTAGCAATTTAGTACCGTAACTATTTAATTTTTATCAATTTTAGTCAGTACGGCCAAATTGCTAGCCAATTATCGCCAATTTTTATCCACATCTCACCTGCCTCTATATTAATTCAAACAATGGTTTACAAATTATCTTTCATTTTAACACTGAATTAAAAGATTTCGGCGACAATTGGCCGACAATTTGACAGGGCTGACTAAAATTGATAAAAATTGAAAAGTTAGGGTATTAAATTGTTAGTTTTGAAAGTTGTGGACTCAAATTAACAACACCCCAATAGTCATATGACCAAAAGTGAAATTTACTCTTGAACTTTATTATAACTTACAATTTGCAGTGAAAAATTGGGATATAATTAGTACCATGGTAAACACTGTCCCCCATGGCCCCATTAATGTACCCAAAAAAATAAAAAATTAAAAACTTAGTATCATGTTATCCTTCTTGCAACCAGTGACTCCTAGACATATGTTGAACTTGAGGTAACTCAACGGTAAATCCTATCCACCACAAGTGTACCCAAAATGGATGCATAAAAGATTATACCATATTATTGCATTTTCCGATGAGTGCAACCCTAGATGTGTGTTGACCTTATTGAACAATATTAGTTGATTCTCTTTGTCCGCCTTGAGAAGGGTCACATTCTACTTTGTTTCAAAAAAAGTTGTTTTTAATATGATCATCTCTTATGTTCCAATATAGCAGAATTCTTTAAAAATTAGGCAAGTACCATTTCTTATGTATTTTATTGAATATATACTTATTAGTTATTACTCCAGAATATAAATTTTTATTTTCAAAATTCAATTTATTAGTATAAAAACATAAGCTTGGTTAAATTGGCTGAGAGAATTGTAAAAGGGGCACAAATGGGATGGTGAGTAATTCATTTTGGATTATTAATAGAAAGAAAAAAAATGTCCGGAGACACATTTTGGAAATGAGAATTCTTAAAGCTTCATTTCCCTAATGTGTCTTTTGGAAGACTTTACTATATTCATCCCATCAAAATCCGCATTAGAGAATGCAGCTTTTAACCCCATTTTTAAACACTTCTGCTCAATTGCCTGAAATCTTTCTATATGAAGTCTTTACGGAGGCAATCATGTTTGTGACAGGTGAGGATTAGGGAGAATGTGTGATGCATTTCATAGGAGATAAGAAGTAAAGCTTTTCATCTAAATCCAACTTCCTTTATGACTATGGAAGAACTTGGCATTTATCAAGTGAACCTTTTTCACTGAAAATATAAGATTTTTTTTTTCCCAAAAGTCATATTTATGAAATGCAGTTTTCTTAAGATTACATTTCTAAGATGCGACATCTTTTAATTTTCTTAGCAACTACAAATGTTATATAGTACTATTATTTTGCTACTGAAAATTGGGTAATACATAATTAGTCTTCATTAAAATTTGCTTATTTTTGACATTTTGTATAAAGTAAATAAAATATGTATAATTTATGAACTTCCCAGTATAGCCATTTCATTGATATTTTGCATCTAACTATGACATTTTACCCTATTTGTTTTATATGCCATTACTCTCTTTTGGGCAAAATAACCAAATGTGTACACTTATGGTTTTTATTCATATTCAGGATTCTAAAAAGCTTCATACTATTAAAGATTACGGAAAAGAGTTGGTAGGGGCTAAAGTCAAAGTCTGGTGGCCCCGAGATAGAAGGTAAGTACTTAAGAAGGGCAAATTGAATGACTGTCTTAGTACCCATTGAAATAGAACGCTTCACTTGTTCCATTATTACCTATTGAGATGGAAAGCATCACTTGTTCCATTGATTACAACATTTGACAATTTCCCTCAGTTGTTAACAGCTTGTGCTTTTGAACTTCAAATTCAATTTTATAAATTTGACACCTAAGGTTATAGGTCTGAAAGATGAATCCTTTTGAGATATCGCATTTACATTATTTGAATCCTATGGTAAATATATACAAATTGTTGCATTTAATTTGTAAACATGTAGCTTATGCACTTTTGATTTATTCTTTTAATATGTATTTTTAAAGTTTTGCTTTTTTAAGTCTAAGAAGCGCTGCCAAGGACCTTGTGGTCCAATGGCACCAAGTTGCTCCCTTATATGGGAGGTTGTGGGTTCGAGCCTTAGTGGAGGCGATATTGGCTCTTTGTGCTTCATTAGGTTGAAAAAGTAGCTAAGAAGCGCTATTAAGTTGTCTTGTAAATTATGCAAGCAATTCTTATCATATTTTCTGTTCTTTTCTCTTTACAGGTTTTATGAGGGGGTGATTTCTTCTTTTAACCCTAAGATGGAAAAACACAAGGTACATAAGCCCAACGGGCAGATATTTCTGTATTATGAGCATTCAAAAAAAAGAAAGAAGTCTAAGAAGCGCTATTAAGTTGTCTGGTAAATTATGCAAGAAATTCTTATCATATTTTCTGTTCTTTTCTCTTTACAGGTTTTATGAGGGGGTGATTTCTTCTTTTAACCCTAAGATGGAAAAGCACAAGGTACATAAGCCCAACGGGCAGATATTTCTGTATTTTATGTGTTGCGTATAATTGCCCTTTGGATATACTATTTTCTATCTTCAAAAATAGGATTTTCCAAGATGAAAGGCAAATGCTCTTCCCTAACAATTTGCTTTTCTAGGATAGTGATATTTAGGCTGAGTTTGACGCATCTTGACTACTCATGCTCCATTATGTTGGCAATTATAAACCAACTCCCATTATTCTAATTTCTGCCCAATCCATTTTGAGATATTTCTCCTGTATTTGTTTGTCAATAACGCACTAATCTTTTTACTTAGAGGCCAAATGTTGAACTACACAAAGCCAAGCCCAGGAGAGCAGGTTTTAAGTAGAGGGCATAGCCTTCTTGTACCTAGATTAACAAGAGCCAGGGAAAAGCCCCACAGGTCTATAATTATAGTTTAAAGCCTTAAAGCACATTAAGAATGTGGTGGAATCATGTCTTTGTTTCCTCTATTTCAAGAGAGCAATCAGAGCATGCATTGATTTTTCGTCACATTCATGGAAAGATTTTAAACATCTGTATCATGATGTATTGGCTTTATCTCGTATCTTCCTTTAATTTTAATGTGCTAAGTTGCTTTCTGTTACTGTACTGTTGTAGGTCATATACACTGATGATGATGTAGAAATCTTGAATCTCAGATGTGAGCGCTGGGAATTGCTTGATAGGTTCCAGTCAAAGAAGTGAGTTAAATTCCCATGTTGTACATTATCTAGTTAGTAAGCTATGATTTCTTGAAGAGGTTCCAGTCAAAGAAGTGAGTTAAATTCCCACATTGTATATTGTCTTGTTAGCAAGCTATGATTTTATTGGTTAGGTCAACTGCCTCTTTGTAAACATAACATGGATGCAATTTACAGGGGCTTGTAACTGACTGACTTTGCTTTCTGATGGAGTAAAGAGGAAGAGGAAGGGAGATGAGCACAAAATAAAAGGAAAGGACTGAATGCAATACAACAATACTATTTGGCAACTTCAGTTTTGAAAGTGAGACAGAATTGCAGGATGGGATAATGAATAGTAAGCATGTCAGATAATTGAATCAACTAATGTATCCTTGATGTTATGGTAATTGATAATTGAGTAATTCTAGGTATTCTTTCTAAAAGTTTTCCTCCTAATTTTTCCTCTTGATGTGGCAACATTTAATTGAATTATTTAGTACTTAATTAAATTTGTGTGGAGTGAGTGGTTTGTTTCATTGCAGCTGCCCATTAGTATTGTTCGCTCCAAAAGGCCAGAGGATTATGCAAATTTGAAATGCCAACTGAAGTCAACTCACATCATCTTTGGACTTTCCTTCCCAGTGAAAGTCCCCAGATTAAACATGTAGCTTATGCACTTTTGATTTATTCTTTTAATATGTATTTTTAAAGTTTTGCTTTTTTAAGTCTAAGAAGTGATATTAAGTTGTCTTGTAAATTATGCAAGCAATTCTTGTCATATTTTCTGTTCACTGTTCTTTTCTCTTTACAGGATTAATGAGCGAGTGATTTCTTCTTTTGACCCTAACACGAAAAAGCACAAGGTGCATAACCCCAACGTGCAGATATTTCAGTAGTTTATGTGTTGCATAAAATTCCCTCTATTGCCCTCTGAATATCCTACTTTCTATCTTCTTAAATAGGATTTTCCAAGATGAAGGGCAAGGGCCATTCCCTAACAATTTGCTTTTCAAGAATACTGATATTTAGGCTGACTTTGACCCATGTTGACTACTCTCATGCTCCATTATGTTGGCAATTATAAACCCAGTATCTAAGGGAGTTTTGGATTTCAAGCAAACCCAATGTTTTCTTCTTTTCCTTTTCCAACTATTATTCTTTGTCCATTTATCCTTATGTTGTCTTGTAACATCTTGTATATGTGAAATTATGAATTTATCTGCACCCGTTCTACCCTATAATAATACAAAAATGGTAGTATTTAATACTTTATTTGTTCTAAACTTAGGCCAGGTTGCAAACAATTTCAGTATTTATTTATTTATTTATTTATTCTATCTACCTGAGCATTCTAACATATATCATATATGTGCATCTATGTTGAAAAAGTATTGTCTTTTGGTGCTCAGGTCATTTTCCATCATATTATAGCATTGCTTGAAAAGTTATATTACATTGATAGTAACTGCTATAGTAAAGCTCCGAGAGTTATTTAAGCCGTTGCGAAGTGCAGGTTGTGTGTGATGGTGTGATGCTATTGGCTTTTTACTGGGTTAGCTGTTAACGTTTTCCAACTGTTCCTCAAAATCATCAGGTATCTCTCCACAGGAAACCTTTAACTGTAATATATATTGCATAATAATTGTTTGTTCTTATTGTTGTTTCAACGTTGGCCATATTAGCTCTTGGTAAGGGTTATATATGCACATAAGCTTTTACGTAATATGACACATTGTTGTCCAACTATGATTTTCTTCAGATTTTATATTGATCTTTTAAAACACTTATTATTACTTGTAGTTAACTTTTTTGATGTAATATAGAGCGGTAGCTACACAGTTGTTCGTATTATATACTCCGTAGCATATAATTTTGATATTTTCACCAAGTCAGTTTCCTTCCTTCGATGCTTACACACTAATAGAATATTCTGCTACATTGTACATTTGTGCTCATGAGTATAGAATTTGTGCTCATGAGTACAATGCGGTATTAAGATACATGGTAGACATCATGTCTCAGCTCATTGAAGAAAGAGATGAGGTCTTACTAGATTTTAAGTGTCCATTCTTGATAGTCTCACCTGAAAATCTAGTGAGACTTCATCTCTTTCTTTTATGAGCTGATGAGCTGAGACATGATGTCTACCATGTATCTTAATACAACATTTGTATGTTTGGGGCTTGATAAAAAGTAAATGGTTAATTCTATTGACTCATTAAAGAGTAAAAATGTACACTTGGCAAAAATATCAAAAGATCACCAAATTTATATGCTATATAAACAAGTATATGAAACCTATATGTTTAGCATACTTGCCTCATGAACAACTAGAAAAAATTGTGTAGCAACCACTTTAGATTACATTAGAAAATTTAACTACAAGTAATAATAAGTGTTTTGAATTTTGAATGATAAGTATAAAATGTGAAGAAAACCATAATTGGACAATAATGTGTCATATTACATAAAAGCTTATGTGCATATATAACCCTTACCAGTAGTTAATATGGCCAGCATTTAAACAACAATAAAACAAACACTTATTATGCAATATTATTATTATTATCCTTATGTTGTCTTGCCCGTGACGGGAGAACATAACATCTTGTATATGTGAAATTATGAATTTATCTGCACCTGTTCTACCCTATGATAATACATAAATAGAGGTATTTAATACTTTTTATATGTTCAAAACTAGACCAGGTTGCAAACAATTTTAGTATTTATTTATTTATTATTTCTTTCTACTTGAGCAGTCTAACATATATCATATATGTGCATCTATGTTTAAAAAATATCATCTTTTGGTTCTCAGGTCGTTTTCCATCAGATTATAGCATCTCTTGAAAAGTTATATTACATTGACAGTAACTATTATAGTAAGGCCCTGAGGGTTCTTGAAGCCGTTGCGAAGTACAGGTTGTGTGTGATGCTATTGGATTTTGACTATGTGCTAGCTGTTAACGTTTTCCAACTGTTTCTCAAAATCATCAGGTATCTCTCCACGGAAACCTACTATAATATATATTGCATAATAAGTGTTTGTTCTTATTGTTGTTTCAATGTTGGCCATATTAGCTCTTAGTAAGGGTAATATATTCACATAAGCTTTTATGTAATATGACACATTGTTGTTCAACTATGATTTTCTTCAGATTTTATACTAATTTTTCGAAACACTTATTATTATTTGTAGTAAACTTTTCTGATGTAATCTAGAGTGGTAGCTACACAGTTGTTCATATTATATACTCCGTAGCATATAATTTTGCTATTTTCACCGTGTCAGTTTCCTTCCTTGGATGCTTACACACTAATATAAGATTCTGCTACATTGTACATTTGTGCTCTTTAATGAGTCTAGAATTGACCCTTCACTTTTGATTAAGCCTCAAGCATACCAATGCGATATTAAGATACATGGTAGATATCATGTCTTAGCTCATAGAAGAAAGAGATGAGGTCTCACTAGATTTTCAAGTGTCCATTCTTGATACCCTCACCTGAAAATCTAGTGAGACTTCATCTCTTTCTTTTATGAGCTGAGACATGATGTTTACCATGTATCTTAATACAACATTTGTATGTTTGGGGCTTGATCAAAAGTAAAGGGTTAATTCTATTGACTCATTAAAGAGTAAAAATGTACACTTGGTAAAAATATCAAAAGATCACCAAAATTATATGCTATATAAACAAGTATATGAAACCTATATGTTTAGCATACTTGCCTCATTAACAACTAGAAAAAATTGTGTAGCAACCACTCTAGATTACATCAGAAAATTTAATTACAAGTAATAAATGTTTTGAATTATCAGTATAAAATGTGAAGAAAAGCATAGTTGGACCACAATGTGCTATATTACATAAAACTTATGTGCATATATAACCCTTACCAGGAGCTAATATGGCCAACATTGAAACAAACACTATATATATATATATATATATATATATATATATATATATATATATATATATATATATATATGAGAACATGTGTTTAGGTGATAACACATCATGTGCATCCATCTAATATTTTTAAATGGTCTAGATTAGATTAAGTGTGTGCGAACGCGCATTAAATGTGTGCAAACGCGATTTAGTGTGTTTGCACACAATTTGAATTAATTTGGTCTAATCCACTTTTTCAGACTAGTCTAAACGGATTAAGGCTCTCAATTCAATAGATTATTAATATTACTTTATAGCGAAAATGATTATTTTAGTCTCTTAATTGTAATATAATAGACAACTCAGTTACATAATTATATTTGTAGTGCCATTTAATTATTGAATTGTCCATTTGGAGGCCCTTATACACATGATTGAGCTTTTTTGTTTTTTGTAAATTTACCAATTAGACTTACTACAAATTTCATCAACACAATTTTCTTTTTTTTTTTTTCTTTTTTCAATTTCAAGTTTTAACATGTCATTCTGATTCTGTTTTTTTTTTTTTTTTTTTTTTTTTTTTTTTTTATCAAGAATCTTCAATAACGCTCGGATTATCTTCATAACACACTCAAACATTTATATCAATCCACCTAAACATCCCACAATACTCTTTCATTAACAAATACAAAATTTGGAGAAATTTGTATTAATCACTTCTCAAAAATTTGAATAATGCAAAAGATAGGGTAACAGAGGTACTCACATTAGATAAAATAAACACTTGCTTTTTGTGGAAATGCTCGAAAACATTTACCTAAAGTGACATAATTTTAAGACATCCTAATTGATAGCTGCACATCCTTACATCTATACCGAAATTCTTAATACATTTCAAAAGACATACAATTTGAAACTTGGGACATCTTTTAATCAATTAAACTTCGAACATATACTTGTAACTTTCCTAAAAGATGAACGTTCGAATTTTTAGAATAAAAATTACCTCAATAATGGTAGATAAAGGAATGCAATATATGACTATTGGGATAGTGATGGAAGAAAAAAATAATCTAAAAAATGTACATCATTGTCCTTTTAATGTGTCGATTATTATTACAAACTATCGTTAGGTTTGAACAAATATTTGACATCAGAGACTAAAAATGCTATATATATATATAAAAAAAAAAAAAAAAAAAAAAAAACAGTAAGGGACTAAAGAGGGTTACCATTATAAATAAGGGACTAAGTTGTCCATTATGCAACAATTTACAGATTAAAAAAATACTATTTCCATTACTTATATATAGTACAAAATAAGGCTTTGTAATATTTAATGAAATTAATTTAGAAAAAATATAATGCTCCGAAAGTTGTGTCTAAGTGGAATTAGCATGATTCTGCTACTCTTTGGGTTGAGCTGTTGAGCCTATTATACATACTTTTTTTAGTATGATTTATCTCTCATGTGTGATTTGTCACTTATTACATAAAAAATAAATTTACTCAATATATATTCTCGAATAGTAATTACGATTTCCTTCTTACCTAATTTAAAAAACATACAAATAATACTCAAAAGTCAAAGACCTTGTGGTCAAGTGGTATTGACTTGTTGGATTATGAACAAATACTACATGTAACATGCAAATGCCTCCACTAAGACTTAAACGTATCACATTCCACATAGGGGAGCAACATGGTACTATTGAATTACAAGGTCCTTGGTTAACAAGGTACTTTTACTTAAAAGTATAACTACAACTTTTAATTATGACAAAATTTATATTTTATTTAAAAAATAATGTACAACTTGAAAAGCATAAAAAAAAATAGACATAATTGAGTAATATAACTTTCATTGGCTCTTATAAGATAGTTATTATTATATTTGGGAGAAGATAGTTATTATATTATTTCACAAATAATTTAATATGGAGAAAATTCTTTTTACGTCTCATAAATTCTTTCATAATATGACTTATAATTGATGGGTAGAGAAAAAAAAATAAGTGTGTGAGACCATTTCATTTTGAGACGTGAAACACTTTATTGGAAGGAGAAAAGTTTGAATGTGAATAACACAACTCTTAATTTTTTCTCAGCTTTATTGTTAATGATGACAATCTGAGATCTATGATAAGCAACATTATGGAGATTGGAGAGATAGTGAATTCTATAAATTATCTCGGCTTATCGTCACTTGTAGTAGGATGAAACAAAAAGGAGATTTTGGGATTCCTTAAGAATAAAGTTCTCAGCAAGTATATGTGGTCTAATGGTACCCGGGTTGGACTTCCATTTGGAAGGTTGTGAAAGTATATGAACAGATATTACATTGTAATAGAGCCACTAGCATTCAAAAAAAAGTTCTCAGCAAAATCAGCAGCTGGAATCACATATTCTTATCAAGACCCAGAAAATAAGTTCTTATACAAAGTGTGATACAAGCACTACCTTCCTATGCTATGAGTATATTTCAAATACCAAAGGAGATTGTGAGAGAAATTGAATGTGCTATGAATGTTTTTTGGTGGGGAGTAAAATATTGCAACCGTAACGATATTCAATGGAAATCTTGGTCACACCTTAGCTTTGTATTCCCAAAGATTGGAGTGGTATTGGGTTTCGAAAACTGGACCCCTTTAACAGTGCACTGTTATGCAAGCAAGCTTGGAGACTCATTCAATTCCCCCTCGTCCCTTCTTGCAAGAGTATTCCAAGCAAAATACTACCTAGGCTCCTCATTCTTAGATGTTAGAATTAGCAGCAACCCATCCTTTATTTGGAACAATCTCTTAACCACCAAGGAGATCATCAGAAATCATAACTGTTGGAGGATGGGTAATGGTAACTGCATTAATATTTGGAGAGACATATGACTTCGTGATCCCTCAAATCCACAGATCACCACGCCACATTTCCCTTTCTGGAAAATGTTGTTGTTTCCTCTCTCCTCAACAACCAATTAGATCAAAGTTCGGACATGGACACAATTCAAAATATATATTTAACCATCGTGACGCCACTCTCATCACAAACATTCCCATGTCCATGTTCAAAAGAGATGATAAACTAATTTGGATGAGAGAAGACTGATGTCACTTTACAGTTAATAACGTTGTTACAAGGCTCTTGTGAGTGAGCAGAATATTGATAACAAGAAAGATTGGGTCTCAATACGAAAAAGTATATGAGAATCAAAATAAATGCAAAAACAAGCACCATTTACACATATTATACTCTGTAATTATAATTTTAACATAGTGCTAGCAACAGAATTAAGACTTAAACACATATAATTTATTATTACTAAATTTGTATTCAAGTATTAATTTTGTTACTTAAATAATTTAAAATTATAATTATAATATTTGTAAATAGTGTTTTTTACTTATTTTACTATTATTTTTAATAAGCCAAAAACATATTTAAAATTGAACAAAAAATGTCAATTTTTAAAAAAATTGAGAGAACAAATATGAATGTATGAATAATTTAAGAGGAAAAATACTATAACAAGGGGGAAAGTGTAATTTTTCCTATATTTTATAGAGACATTCAAGCTATCAATCGTTATGCTGTGCATCCGTATGCACCATGCATGGTGCATACGGATGCCAAAACGACGTCGTTTTATTAAAAAACACCCCTTTAAAGAAAATTCAGGTTCGATTCCCATCAACAACATTATATTGTTCATTCATTCTGAAATTTTAGTTCATAGATTATGGAATTATAGTTCATTGATTATGGAATTATAGTTCATCGATTATGGAATTGTTGTTCATCGATTTTGAAATTTTAGTTTATAGATTATGGAATTTTAGTTCATTCATTATGGAATTTTTAGTTCATAGATTAGATTATAGAATTATAGTTCATCGACTATAGAATTATAGTTCATCGATTATGGAATTTTAGTTCATATGTTGTTGCTGCGAATCGAACCTGATTTTTTTTATACGGGGAGACGCATGGAATTTTAGTTCATATGTTGTTGCTGGGAATCGAACCTGATTTTTTTTTACGGGGAGACGCACGTTTTATTAAAACGACGTCGTTTTTGCATCCGTATACACCTCCTTCATCCACAGCATAATTTGCCACATTCAAGGCCATCTCCAAGGCCCTTCGCCTCCAAAGACAAAAATTCAAAAACCCTCTGAAGAGATTTGGCGACAATTGGCAGTTGATTCTTCAGAGCGTGACTTAGAAGCGCATATGGACTTTGTTTGGTATGGAATGGAATTAATCACGCAAAAAGCAGAAGAATCCAGGCAGGATTACACGGATTCCAAACTCAACATTGTACAACCACGCAAAAATGAGCAGGAATCCACACACAAACCGTTCGTTACGTTCTTTATCAACTCCAATTCAGCATTTCTTTATCCGCTTTGTCAACTCCAATTCAGAATTTCTTTATCGGCTTTGTCAACTCCAATTCAGCATTTCTTTATCCGCTTTGTCAACTCCAATTCAGAATTTCTTTATCCGGATTTACATTTGCTGGATTGGGTGTCTGTGGGTCCTCTTTTCGAGTGAAGTACAATTTGGGTTCTTTAGTTCTAGGGTTTTCAGTCTTGATTGAGGGTAGAACTCTGTTTGCTGAGAATGATGGCTTTTCTAGGGTTTTCAGTCTTGATTGAGGGTAGAACTCTGTTTGCTGAGAATGATGGCTTCTCCTGCTGCTGCTGCACCTCTTCCATCACAAAAGGAGCTTGAGGAGATGCTCATTGAGTCTGGAATTGAGCTCTCTACACCTCCTTCATCCACTGGCGAGCTTCTCAACCTCCTTGAAGTAAAATTCTTTCCCTTTTCTTTTGCATATAAAGGTTCAATTATGCTTGGATTGGTTTTCATTGATGGGATTTGTTCACCAGGCAAATGATTATAAAATTTTAGGGTCTCTTTTCCTGCCTGAAAGGATCAATTCTTATGTTGTTGTTGTTGTTGTTGTTGTTCTGTCTACGTTTTATTTAGAAATGTTTATGCTTTCATCTATAGTTTATTCATATATGTTTTTAGAAACTGACATATTGAATTACACACACACACTCAAAACTACTGTCCTCATCTGGACATTATATGTTTACTACTGTTGTTTTAACTCTTCTGTTGCATTGCATTTTCTTTTAGAAAGCTGAATCAGAACTGAAGAGCATAGGGCAAGACCCTTCAGTGTCGATGAGAAATGTACTTGAGCCAATTAAAAAAGCGCTGATTGAAACGAAACTTCTGAGACATTCTGATAAAATCATTGAGGTTTCTGTTGCATCTTGTATCTGTGAAATTATAAGAATATCTGCACCCGTTCTACCCTATGATAATATAGAAATGGAGGTATTTAATACTTTTTATATGTTCAAAACTTAGGCCGGGTTGCAAACAATTTTAGTATTTATTTATTTATTTATTTATTATTTCTTTCTACTTGAGCAGTCTAACATATATCATATATGTGCATCTATGTTTAAAAAATATCATCTTTTGGTTCTCAGGTCGTTTTCCATCAGATTATAGCATCCCTTGAAAAGTTATATTTCATTGATAGTAACTACTATAGTAAGGCCCTGAGAGTTCTTGAAGCGGTTGCGAAGTACAGGTTGTGTGTGATGCTATTGGATTTTGACTATGTGTTAGCTGTTAACGTTTTCCAACTGTTTCTCAAAATCATCAGGTATTTTCTAGTTGTTCATATCATATAGCGTTACACACTATAGTATAATATTCTCCTATATTGTACATTTGTACTCTTTAATGAGTCTATAGAATTGACCCTTCACTTTTTATCAAGCTTCAACCATACCAATGCTGTGTTAAGATACATGGTAGACATCATGTCTCAGCTCATAGAAGAAAGAGATGAAGTCTCACTAGATTTTCAAGTTTCCATTCTTGATAGCCTCAGAAAGGAAACTCTGGTAATAATCACTATGCAAATATTGATGCTATCTCCAAACATTGTTTTCAATTTTTTGATTAACTAGGTATGTTTTTATCTAGGCTACTGCACCTTGTTCATCGATATTGGGAAGCGAAGTCTTGGAAAAGTGTGCTGCCAAATTGAAGCCTTGTCTTTTAGAATTAATGACAAATATGAACATTGTTGAAGGAGTTTGGAGAATAAAGTATTGTCTTGTTATTTACACTCTGTCTACAAGCAACTACACAGCACCATATATATAGGTAGAAGATGGAATACTAATAGGGCCCTAGGGATACTAACAGACATAGAAACTGAACAGTCATAGGAAATAATAAAAGCATAATAATGAGTCTTAATGAGTCTCAACATCCCCCCTCAAGCTGGAGCATGAATATCAAAAGCTCCAAGCTTGGTACACAAATATTCAACTCTGGGACCTCTTAAAGCTTTGGTGAAGATATCAGCCAACTGATCATTTGTACCCACGAATGAGGTAACGATTTCCCCGGATGTAATCTTTTCGCGAATAAAATGACAATCGACTTCGATGTGTTTTGTTCTCTCATGAAAGACAGGATTGGATGCAATATGCAAGGCTGCTTGATTGTCGCACATTAGTTTAATAGGCCCTTTCATGCAAAGATTTAATTCAGTCAAGAGATGCTTTAACCAGATTAGTTCACATGTTCCCAAGGCTATTGACCGATATTCTGCCTCTGCACTCGATCGAGCCACCACATTTTGCTTCTTACTTTTCCAAGATACTAGATTGCCACCAAGGAAAACGCAGTACCCTGATGTTGACTTTCTATCCCAAGAGCACCCAGCCCAATCTGCATCAGTATAACCAACAATCTCTGTATTTCCACGATCCTTGTATAAAACACCGTTCCCGGGAGACTTCTTGATGTATCGTAGGATCCTAATGACAGCTTCCCAATGGCTATCACACGGAGAAGCCAAAAATTGACTCACAACGCTAACTGCAAAAGAGATGTCAGGGCGAGTGACGGTTAAGTACAACAATTTTCCAACCAATCTTCGATATCTTCCTGGATTTGAAAAGGGCTTCCCTTGTTCCGGTACAAGCTTAATGTTAGGATCCATGGGAGTATCAATAGGTCTGCAATCACTCATACCTGTTTCCTCTAATATGTCTAAAGCATATTTTCGTTGAGATATACAAATCCCTTGCTTTGACTGGGCAACTTCTATCCCTAAGAAGTATTTTAATTTTCCAAGGTCTTTTGTCTCAAAATGTTGGAAAAGATGTTGCTTTAGCTGGAGTATTCCTTCTGCATCATCTCCTGTGATAACAATATCATCGACATAAACAACAAGATAAACGCTCTTACCATGTCGATGCCGGTAGAATACAGAATGATCCACTTTGCTTTGGACTAACCCAAACTCTTGCAGAACTGTACTAAAACGTCCGAACCAGGCACGTGGAGACTGTTTCAATCCATAAAGAGAACGTTTTAATTTGCAAACCAAATCAGTCTCCCCCCCTTGAGCAACAAAACCCGGAGGTTGCTCCATATACACCTCTTCTTTTAGATCCCCATGTAAAAAGGCATTCTTGATGTCAAGTTGGTATAGAGGCCAATGATGGATGGCAGCAATAGACAGAAAGATTCTGATAGAAGAGATCTTGGCTACGGGTGAGAACGTATCAGTGTAATCAACGCCAAACACTTGAGTATACCCCTTGGCTACAAGGCGAGCTTTGAGTCTATCTATCTGTCCATCAGGCCCAACTTTGACATTATAAACCCAACGACAACCAACAACTGTTTTGCCAGGAAGTAATGGAACCAAGTCCCAAGTTCCCGAGGATTGCAAAGCAACCATTTCATCTACCATAGCTTGCTGCCAACCAGGATGGGAAAGTGCTTCCCTAACCGAATTAGGAACAGAAACAGATGATAAACTGGAGATGAAAGCATTGTAAACAGGGGAAAACCGGTGATAAGAGACAAAATTATATATAGGGTAGGGATTGCGAGTAGACCGGTTACCTACCCGACTAGCAATGGGCGGACTGGAGATTGGAGCAGGACCCGAATCCGAGGGAAGGGACCGCTCAGGAGATGAATCAGCAGGTTCAATGTTTGCAGCAGTAGTGGTTGGTGGTAATTTTGACCGACGATGATAGGTGAACTGGAAAGGAGAAACAGTGTGGGTTTGTGATGGATTGGGAGGTAGGACAACAGGAGATATTGGTATTTCTGTCCCTCCTTCAAATGAGGGAACTGGTAGGACATCAGGAAAAGGATCCACCACCCTTATAGAGTCAGATGAAAAGAACGGAGTGTACTCAAAGAAGGTAACATTTGGTGATACATAGAATCGCTGTGTCTCAGGACAATAACACCTGAACCCTTTTTGAACCCTAGAGTACCCCACAAAAATACATTTCAAGGACTTGGGTGACAGTTTATCACGACCAGGAGTAATATCCCGAACAAAGCAAGTGCAACCAAAAACCCTCAGCGGAAGCTTGTGTAATGACTCTTGAGGAAACAATATGTTATAAGGTATTTTGCCATGTAGAACAGACGATGGCATACGGTTAATAAGGTAACATGAGTGGAGGATAGCATCTCCCCAGAAATAAGAGGGAACCTTATAGTGAAGGAGCATAGTCCGAGCGGTTTCCACTAGATGCCTATTCTTTCGTTCAGACACACCATTCTGTTGTGGAGTATCTGGACAAGAAGACTCATGGAGAATACCTTCAGAGTCAAGGAGGGTAGACAAAGGAGTATTGAAATATTCCCTGGCATTATCACTTCGAAGAACTTTAATAGAGACTCCAAATTGATTCTTGATTTCATTATGAAATTTCTGAAAGATGTTGAATAGATCAGAACGTCGTTGCATTAGGAAAACCCAAGTACAACGCGAAAAGTCATCAATAAAAGTAACAAAATATTTAAAACCTAACACAGAAGTGACACGACAAGGGCCCCAAATATCACTGTGAACTAAGGAAAAAGGGGATGAGGACACTTTATTAACCCGTTCAGGAAAGGAGGTTCTTGAATGTTTCCCAAATTGACAAGATTCACACTCTAGTGAAGACAGCTTTGAGAGACTCGGTTCAAGTTGTTGTAGTTTCTTCAAACTTGGATGACCTAGACGACAATGAGTAAGGGAAGGAGAAATAGTAGCACTACAGACAGCGGAAGCAGGAGTGGATAGACGGTATAACCCTTTTGATTCATACCCCGAGCCAATCGTCTTCCCCGAACGACGGTCCTGTATAACAACCGAATCAGGAGAAAAAGTGACAAGACAATCAAGAGAACGAGTAAGTTGACGAATGGAAATCAAATTAAAAGGACAAGTAGGTATATGCAAGACTGATGACAAGGGTAAATCAGGAAGAGGTCTTGCTTTACCAACTCCTTTAGCAGAACATATGGATCCATTACCAAACACAATGGACGGAAGAGACTTAGAGTTTGTGAGATGGGTCAATAAGGAAGAATTACCACATATATGTTCGGAGGCACCTGAATCAAGGACCCAGGGTCCGAGAGGTCCAGATTGAGAAACAAGGGCAGCATGAGTCTCTCCCGTATGAGCCAAAGGAGTGAAAACAGTAGCTTGGGCATTAGCCTTAAACCGTGCAAACTCTTCATATTCTGCAAGAGAGACATTTTTAGAACCTGATTCTTCTAGTTTGAGTTGAGCCACATTTGTAGGAGCAGTCAACGGTTTCCCATGCAGTTTCCAACATCGGTCCCGTGTGTGTCCAGATCTATTGCAGTAATCACAGTATCTAGCATTTTTCTGCCCACTACGATCTTTATTCCGATTGCCCAGATTATTACCACGACTTCCTTGAATCACAAGAGCAGATTGTTCTGTAGTGGATGCAGAAGTTTCACCAGGAAAAGAGGCCACTTGAAGAAGGCGTTTGAACAACTCTTGGACCCCTGGCACACCTTTATCCCCAAGAATCTGGTTTCGAGTATTCTCAAACTCGGGGCCTAATTTAGTCAAAACCAGAACAACAAAAAACTTTTCACGTTGGGCAATCTGTTCATCAGGTGTCCCTCCAACGGGTAAAAGCTTATTAAACTCAGTTAATAAACTTTGAGTTTTCCCAAGAAAGGCTTCCATACTCATACCATCCTTCTTTAAATTAACCAAATTATCAACAACTGTGTAACATTGTGAAATATCATTAGTGTACAAGGATTTGGCTTGACTCCATACCTCAACACATGTTTTAAAAACTCTAAATAGTTGAATTAACTCAGGTGAAAGGGATTGCCATAGAAGACTACAAAGTTGTGCATCCACCCTTTTCCAAATTGCCTTCTCATTTTCTGGTACCTCAGTTTCTACCCCATGTTCCAAGTGGTCAATAACACCCTGGCCCATAAACCACATTTCAACGGCATCCGACCAAGAGTGGTAGTTTTGTGACCCACATAATTTTTCAGAGGTAATAACTGGATTTCCAGATAAATTAGGCACAAACACTGAGCGAGAAATAGCATTTTCAACATTGGTAGAAGTAGCATTTTCAACATTGGTAGAAGTTTCCTTGGTTCCAGTTGAAGACATGGTTGATAAAAAGGAAGAATATTACCAGGAAAGCCAGAGGAGGGTCGAAAATGAAACTGGAAAATATCGCCGGAAAATATCGCCGGAGGAGGTCTCACGCGCCGGCGCGTGGAGGCGCGTGGCGGCGGAAGGCTGCGCGTGAGGTGGCGCGTGAGGGCGCGTGCGGCGGCGGTTTGAGACGGGACTTCGACGGCCGGGGTCGCCTGCACTTCCTGACCGGCGGTGGTTCTTCGGAATTTTATGAAAACTTGCGATGAGGAGTTTTCGAAGAAGAAGCGTAGACAGACCCTGCACTGCTACTGTTCATCCTCGAAATGCTCGGAAATAAAAAGGGGTTCAGGCCAATGGTGGCTCTGATACCATGTTGAAGGAGTTTGGAGAATAAAGTATTGTCTTGTTATTTACACTCTGTCTACAAGCAACTACACAGAAGATGGAATACTAATAGGGCCCTAGAGATACTAACAGACATAGAAACTGAACAGTCATAGGAAATAATAAAAGCATAATAATGAGTCTTAATGAGTCTTAATGAGTCTCAATAATGAGTCATTAATTTTAGAATTAATGACAAATATGAACATGAATTTGGATGATTATTCTAAAATACTTGGCTCAATATTGCATGAAGTTCCTGAGGGAGAAAAGATGGTATCTATGTGTTTGCGTATTTTTCATTAAACTTGTTGACTTTCTACTGTTGTATTTCCTTTGAAGATCAAAAGATGTTTATAGATTAAGATAATTTGGGTGTGTTCAGCGTATGCTCTTGGATAGAATGAGTAGTTGGAATCTGTAGAAGGCTAGAGGCTAGGTGAAGGGAGTAGACATTAAAAATGACGTACTATTGCTAGAAGCTGATGTAGGCATGTAGCATTAATGAGAATGAAATGGAGAAACAGAATCCATATAACTGAACTTAACTAGGCTAGGATTGGTTGAGTTGGGTTGAGGTTATGCCCTCAAGCTTCAAAACATTGTTATCTATTATCTGCTGTCAGCGTAAGGTTTGGTAGTCAAGAGATGCATTAATTTTTGGGAAAATTGCAATTTGGTCCTTCAGTTATAACAACGGTACAAACTTAGTCCCTGAGTTATATGCGTGACCATCTTTAACCCCTAAGTTATGCACGAAGTGGAGATTATAGTCCCTCAGGGACTTTCTACCACCAATTTGTCACTTACTAAAGTGGCTGATTTGGTCCTTCAAGGACTCAAATTGCCACTCCATGCATCACTTACGGGTTAAAGATGGTCACGCATATAACTCAGGGACTAAGTCTGTACCACAAGTATAACTGGAGGACCAAAAATGCAATTTTCCCTTAATTTTAAAATCATAGAACCATTTATCCTTAAAGAAGAAGTCTTTAATACTGTCTAGATTTAAGTCATGGGCATCTGATCTGCTTGTTTTATGCTGTCACTTGCCATTCTACATTGAGATATGATGAATATGATATTCTTCCGTGTTTGTGGGAGGAGGGGGTTTCCTTCTAATGGATAACAATCTATTTTTCATTTTTTCGTGAATGATCAGGTGGAAAATGCTGGTTCTGTACCACCTGTAGAAGGAACATCTGCTCTTCAACTTCCTCAGGTACCACTACTGGATGCCACTCAAACAATGAATAACAATAACAATAACCTGGAACTTGATGGGTCATTGAAGGCATCTTTTGGGATGAACGAAAGCAAACGCTCTGATGAAGAACCTACTATCAAGAAGGAACAAGATAAGAAATCTTGGAGCTCATTGGACATTAATGCAACTTCAATTGTGTTAACTTTGCCAGCTGTAACTGGAAAGGAGTCTGTGACTAAGCCTGATGTGTTAGCCCCCAGCAGCACAAAAAGTCCTTGCAAAAGGGGCCAACCAAAGAAGAATCAGACAGATCTCACCGTGCAAAAGAGATATGAAGGGACTAGGTCTGCCCAGAGAAAACTTAAAGAAAAGGTACTACTGTAATGGTGCTTGCAGATTCTCTAGATTTCTGGTTAGAGTAATCTTTGTGATTCTATCTATTCAGTTTGCTAATCATTATATTTCTGCATTGCCTTAACCCATAACTAATTGGTTTGCATCTCTTTATTGAGTTCTATTAAAACTTAAATTTCCATCTGCCTCTTTCTGTTCTATCTCTAATTAGTACCATATTAGTGGTTTAGGATATCTTACTGCTAAATTCTGTCCTCTAATTAGTACCATATTAGTGGTGTTTGGCTGCATAATGGAAAACTGTCTTTATGTATTTGGTTCATTTTCCAGAGAATGAGCAAGAAAACATACAATAGATGTGACTTCATGTACAAACCCCAAAAAAAAAAAAAAATTAATTTTTTTAATAACATTGAACTGGTTTCCTTGCCGGAAACTAGACCAGAGACTGGTTTGATTTCCGAAAAGGAAACCAATCGCCGGAAACCAGATTAGTCAAGGAAACCAATCTGGTTTCCGGTATCTGGTTTTCCAAGTCGGGAACCAAACTGGTTTCCGACTTGGAAACCCAGATTTTGGATTTCCATGTCAGAAACCAATCCAGATTGGTTTCTGACATGGAAATCCAGAACTAGATGATTCCAAGTCGGAAAATAGTTTCCGATGTCGAGAAGTGATGCGATGTCGAGAAGCGAAGCGATGAAGAAGCCTGAAGCGGAAAATGACTTCCCCTAAAAAAAAAAAAAAGGGGAAGTAATTTTCCATAAAAATGACTCTATTTTCCATTGACCCAATTTCATTTTCCTTTGACTTTAGTTTTTCTTACTTACCAAACACTAGAAATCATTTTCCGCGTTTCCAAACACACCCTTAATGTATTCCAAGAAAATAAAAAAATTAGGAACTTAGTATCATATTCTCCTTCTTGCAACCAGTGCACCCCTAGACATATGTTGAACTTGAGGTATCTCAGCATTAAATCATTTCCACCGTAAGTGTACCAAAAAAGAATGCATAATTGGTAATACTATATTATTGCACTTTCCAACGAGTGTGTTGATTGTGAGGGATTGAAAAGCCTAGTGGGTGGTGACTAAGTGGAAGCAAAATATGTGAGAATACTTGGAATAGAGAGAATATATGATTATGTTAATAATAATAGATTGTCTCTCTATGTTTCTTGAACGGTATAGAGTGTATAGAGATTCTATATTTATAGAAACATTGGGTTAAACCACTCCTACCTTGAATAGGAAATCAAGATTACTCCTAATAGGAATAGGACTAAGGCTTCCTATTATTCAACACTCCCCTCAAGCTGGAATATCTAGAAGTTCCACGCTTGAATTAAAACAAACACTCCACCTGACTCAAAATTACAAATGAAGATTAAATGCCGCTAGAGGATAATAGTGTTGAATGTCGTCGGAAGACATGGCACTATACAAAACCCTTGGAAATGAAGTTGAAAGCATCAAGGATGGATTTGAACATGAACAAGCTCAAGCTAACAAAGTGACACAAACACTCTTGAACAAATGTAAAAAAGCCTTCATCAAGAGTAGAGGTGAAATGGAGCAGGGGCAATAAATGGGTACATATGGTCCCTAGCAATGAAGATAGCCAAAGCGATAAAGAGAAGCCCCATAGCAATGAAAGAACAAAACATGCGTGGTTCATGGTAATACTCCCCTAGCCACCCTTTCTTGAAACTTGAGAAATAATAAATGGCCTTTGGACATAAAATATTATAGTGCCGATTGCCGAAATTAAACACCCTCAGGGAACAAATAAGGCACACTGAAAATGAAGAAGCAAATATGGTAATACCAAAATTGAACTCCCTCAGGAAAGAAACTTGACAACGGATCCAAAAATCCTTTAAATTTCATAAAAGACCAAAATTTAGCGAAAAAGGGACAATGGAACACCATTGGCGATTCTTCGAACAAGAACCTATGCAAGACAGTTGGAAAAGTTGATTTCACATATCTCACTATGAGAAAGAGATTTGAAGCAACTAGGCCTTCCAAGGGAAATCGTGGGAGGAGTTCATGCAAGAGTAAGGTATCTCCTAGTTTGACTGTACGTATAAAGAAGAAGGAAAAAGAAATAGCCAATGATGCAGACTTGCAGAGAAGTCATCTCTTCAACGAAATCAGCACCAAAATATAAGCACAAGAACTAAACACTTGAGGAAGCAAGCTTTAAACAAAGGAATGGTACCATTGTAATGTTTTATATGAAGAGTCATATTTTTAAAGTTTAGGTTTCTTACTTGTATATATACTCTGTTGTACCAACCATTTGAGTCTATCAAATCCAAGTATCTTTCTTCACATGGTAACAAACTAGGCTCCTTTCACCAACAAAATTCCCTTTTTTTTTTTTTCTTCTTACCAAATCAATTTTGTTTTCCTCTTGCACGATAACCGTTCTTGTCCCGATGCATCTCTGGCTGTTGTTTGAAAAACTAACACCACAATCTTACTCAGAAGTCAGGACGACGTCACCGTGAAGGGCTATCGCAAAAAACTCAACTTTGCCTTAACCCGTATTGAATTGATTGCATTTCATTATGATCCTATGATTATTAGGGTGTTGTCAATTTCAGTCCACAACTTTCAAAACTAGCAATTTAGTACCGTAACTATTTAATTTTTATCAATTTTAGTCAGTATGGCCAAATTTCTAGCCAATTATCGCCAATTTTTATCCACATCTCACCTGCCTCTATATTAATTCAAACAATGGTTTACAAATTATCTTTCATTTTAACACTGAATTAAAAGATTTCGGCGACAATTGGCCGACAATTTGACGGGGCTGACTAAAATTGATAAAAAATTGAAAAGTTAGGGTATTAAATTGTTAGTTTTGAAAGTTGTGGACTCAAATTGACAACACCCCAATAGTCATATGACCAAAAGTGAAATTTACTCTTGAACTTTATTATAACTTACAATTTGCAGTGAAAAATTGGGATATAATTAGTACCATGGTAAACACTGTCCCCCATGGCCCCATTAATGTACCCAAAAAAATAAAAAATTAAAAACTTAGTATCATGTTATCCTTCTTGCAACCAGTGACTCCTAGACATATGTTGAACTTGAGGTAACTCAACGGTAAATCCTATCCGCCACAAGTGTACCCAAAATGGATGCATAAAAGATTATACCATATTATTGCACTTTCCGATGAGTGCAACCAATGTTGCAAAAATCCCGCCTAGGCACCGATTAATCGACGCCTAGGTGCTGGCCGGCCGCCTAGCGTATCATCAGCATCGGTGGTCTAGGCGCCTGGCCGGCTAGCCGACCGACTAGGCCGCCTAGGCCTCCTAGGCGCCGACTAGGTCTCCTAGGCACCGACTAGATCGCCTAGGCACCAACTAGGTCGCCTAGTCGGTCAATTAACTATTGGTCCATTCTTTTTTAAATGAGTTATTTTACTCAAAACAACATCGTTTTGAGCGAAATAACCCTAAATTATTCAAACTCTAGATGTTTTTTAGGTTAATATTTAATATTTTAGTATTAACTATTAAAGTATTGAAAAGTCTTAAAAAATTTAAAAATTTTAAATTAATTTTTTAAAAATAAAAAATACACTGGCGCCTAGGCGCCGATTAATCCCGCCTAGGCGCCCTAGGCGCTAGGCGCTCCCCAAGCGCCCGATGGGCGCCTAGCGATTTTTTCAACCATGAGTGCAACCCTAGATGTGTGTTGACCTTATTGAAACAATATTAGTTGATTCTCTTTGTCTGCCTTGAGAAGGGTCACATTCTACTTTGTTTCAAAAAAAGTTGTTTTTAATATGATCATCTCTTATGTTCCAATATAGCAGAATTCTTTAAAAATTAGGCAAGTACCATTTCTTATGTATTTTATTGAATATATACTTATTAGTTATTACTCCAGAATATAAATTTTTATTTTCAAAATTCAATTTATTAGTATAAAAACATAAGCTTGGTTAAATTGGCTGAGAGAATTGTAAAAGGGGCACAAATGGGATGGTGAGTAATTCATTTTGGATTATTAATAGAAAGAAAAAAAAATGTCCGGAGACACATTTTGGAAATGAGAATTCTTAAAGCTTCATTTCCCTAATGTGTCTTTTGGAAGACTTTACTATATTCATCCTATCAAAATCCGCATTAGAGAATGCATCTTTTAACCCCATTTTTAAACACTTCTGCTCAATTGCCTGAAATCTTTCTATATGAAGTCTTTACGGAGGCAATCATGTTTGTGACGGTGAGGATTAGGGAGAATGTCTGATGCATTTCATAGGAGATAAGAAGTAAAGCTTTTCATCTAAATCCAACTTCCTTTATGACTATGGAAGAACTTGGCATTTATCAAGTGAACCTTTTTCACTGAAAATATAATTTTTTTTTTTTCCCACAAGTCATATTTATGAAATGCAGTTTTCTTAAGATTACATTTCTAAGATGCGACATCTTTTAATTTTCTTAGCAACTACAAATGTTATATAGTACTATTATTTTGCTACTGAAAATTGGGTAATACATAATTAGTCTTCATTAAAATTTGCTTATTTTTGACATTTTGTATAAAGTAAATAAAATATGTATAATTTATGAACTTCCCAGTATAGCCATTTCATTGATATTTTGCATCTAACTATGACATTTTACCCTATTTGTTTTATATCTCATTACTCTCTTTTGGGCAAAATAACTAAATGTGTACACTTATGGTTTTTATTCATATTCAGGATTCTAAAAAGCTTCATACTATTAAAGATTACGGAAAAGAGTTGGTAGGGGCTAAAGTCAAAGTCTGGTGGCCCCGGGATAGAAGGTAAGTACTTAAGAAGGGCAAATTGAATGACTGTCTTAGTACCATTGAAATAGAACGCTTCACTTGTTCCATTATTACCTATTGAGATGGAAAGCATCACTTGTTTCATTGATTACAACATTTGACAATTTCCCTCAGTTGTTAACAGCTTGTGTTTTTGAACTTCAAATTCAATTTTATAAATTTGACACCTAAGGTTATAGGTCTGAAAGATGAATCCTTTTGAGATATCGCATTTACATTATTTGAATCCTATGGTAAATATATACAAATTGTTGCATTTAATTTGTAAACATGTAGCTTATGCACTTTTGATTTATTCTTTTGATATGTATTTTTAAAGTTTTGCTTTTTTAAGTCTAAGAAGCGCTGTCAAGGACCCTGTGGTCCAATGACACCATGTTGCTCCCTTATATGGGAGGTTGTGGGTTTGAGCCTCAACAGATACTACATTGTAATAGAGTCAGTAGCATTCAAAAAAAAAAAAAGAAAAATAAATTATGCAAGCAATTCTTGTCATATTTTCTGTTCTTTTCTCTTTACAGGTTTTATGAGGGAGTGATTTCTTCTTTTAACCCTAAGACGGAAAAGCACAAGGTACATAAGCCCAACGGGCAGATATTTCTGTATTTTATGTGTTGCATATAATTGCCCTTTGGATATACTATTTTCTATCTTCAAAAATAGGATTTTCCAAGATAAAGGGCAAATGCTCTTCCCTAACAATTTGCTTTTCTAGGATAGTGATATTTAGGCTGAGTTTGACGCATCTTGACTACTCATGCTCCATTATGTTGGCAATTATAAACCAACTCCCATTATTCTAATTTCTGCCCAATCCATTTCGAGATATTTCTCCAGTATTTGTTTGTCAATAACGCACTAATCTTTTTACTTAGAGGCCAAATGTTGAACTACACAAAGCCAAGCCCAGGAGAGCAGGTTTTAAGTAGAGGGCATAGCCTTCTTGTACCTAGATTAACAAGAGCTAGGGAAAAGCCCCAAAGGTCTATAATTATAGTTTAAAGCCTTAAAGCACATTAAAAATGTGGTGGAATCATGTGTTTGTTTCCTCTATTTCAAGAGAGCAATCAGAGCATGCATTGATTCTTAATCACATTCATGGAAAGATTTTAAACATCTGTATCATGATGTATTGGCTTTATCTCGTATCTTCCTTTAATTTTAATGTGCTAAGTTGCTTTCTGTTACTGTACTGTTGTAGGTCATATACATTGATGATGATGTAGAAATCTTGAATCTCAGATGTGAGCGCTGGGAATTGCTTGAAGAGGTTCCAGTCAAAGAAGTGAGTTAAATCCTACGTTGTACATTATCTAGTTAGCAAGCTATGATTTCTTGAAGAGGTTCCAGTCAAAGAAGTGAGTTAAATTCCCACATTGTACATTGTATATTATCTAGTTAGCAAGCTATGATTTTATTGGTTAGCCAACTGCCTCGTTGTAACATAACGTGGATGCAATTTACAGGGGCGTGTAACTGACTGACTTTGCTTTCTGATTGAGTAAAGAGGAAGAGGAAGGGAGATAAGGACGCCGTCGTTTTACTTTTTTTAAAAAATCATTTTTAATTGCCGTTAGTTACGTAAACATATGTTCATAATTTTATAATTTCACATTCTGAATGTATAGTTATGAAGTTATGGATGTGTAGTTATGCAATTCTGAATGTATAGTTATGAAGTTATGGATGTGTAGTTATGCAATTCTGAATGTATAGTTATGAAGTTATGCAATTCTGAATGTATAGTTATGAAGTTAATGGATGTGTAGTTATGCAATTCTGAATGTATAGTTATGAAGTTATGAATGTATAGTTATGCAATTTTGAATGTATAGTTATGAAGTTATGGATGTGTAATAAAAAAAATGATTGGTGGAGTTAAACGGTGTCACAAACGGCACTGTTATTCCACAATAGTGAAACGACGTCGTTTGCAACTGTGTGCACCATGCATGGTGCACACGGTTGCACAGCATAACAATTGTTCTTCGGCAAATTATATCGTGCACCAAGGTGCACCTTAAAAGTTTATGTGTATTATTATATATTATGTTAGATCAGATTGTGTATTATGTTAGAAGTTTATGTGTATTTTACTATACAAATATGTACATATGAAACATGGGATTTTTAGGGTGCACAATGCATTGTGCGCCCTGGTGCACGATATACCAATTATATTTCTTTTACATGAAATAGTTGTTAGCTGATAGCTGTTAGTTGATTGACCGATTGAGTTTGTGGGTTTGACTATTTGATTGCATTAACTGATTGTAGAAAGATGTTTGGTAAATTAGCTGTTAGTTGATAACTGATTACATGCAAAATGACATTCTTAAAATGTTGATCGAAAAAGTTGCTTTGAATAGTTTTTTTAATTTTAGCATTTTGAATCAATCAACTATTACAAAAAGTTAATTAATCAAACACTTATATTTTGACTGTTTAATCAAGTTAAACAGCTAATAGTGGTCAAATAAACTAAAATTGACTAATAAGCTATTTATGTTACCAAACATAGCCTTAAAACAAGTTAAGGGTGTAGACACGACGGTTATAGTCAAACCTGTGGCCGAAAAAAATAGCTGGCACAAAATGCCCCGAGTCGTAGGTACATTTTACGAATCACATTTTAATTATGACGCATTTTATATTTTATTTAAAAAATTAATTCACACACAATTTTAAATTTATAAAAGAAAATACATATATCCCCTCTCAATTTTTACCTCCAAACTTTTCCTGGTTTCATTCATTGGGTGAATGAATTGATAAATTCACCACACCCCCGAGATTTCATCTCATTTTGATTTTGATTCTTCTTTTATGTTATTTTAATTTGATTTATTTTTATTTTATGTTATTTTAATTTAAATGATTTTATGTTATTTTAATTTAAATGATTTTATGTTATTTTAATTTGACTTATTTTTTATATTGGGTTGGCACCGTGGATAGGGGTGTTAGCGAACAGAGCTTTCGGCAAACTACTCGTGTTCGTGTTCGTGTTCGGTAAGCGTTCGTTTATGTTCGTTTGTTAAGGTAAACGAACATTAACAAACAAAATTTAGAGCTCGGTTAATAAACGAACAGAGCTTGAACAGTTGTAAGCTCGTTTGCTAATAGATCGTGAACAAGCTCGTTTGTGTTTGTTTACTAATGTTCGTGAACAAGCTCGTTTATGTTCGTTTAATAATGTTCGTGAACAAGCTCGTTTGTGTTCGTTTAATAATGTTCGCGAACATGTTTACAAACATATATATTATATTATATTAGTTATGTAGTTGTGTTATTTGTTTGATTATTGTTCGTGAACGTAGATTATTTATTGTTCACGAACAAATTGTGATCATGAACATGTGCATGTGTTTGTTTATTAAGTGTTCGTAAACGTAAATAAATATGTTCGTGAACGTGCTTGTTAATGAACATGTTTGTGAACGTGTTTGTTAATGTTAACGAACATGTTTGCAAACGTGTTCACGAACGTTAACAAACACGTTCGCGAACATGTTCGTTAATGTTAACAAACACGTTCGTGAACGTGTTCGCGAACGTTAACGAACACTAACAAACGCTTAACAAACGAACACGAACAGGATTTTCAAAAACCTTAACAAACGAACACGAACACGAACACTCCAAATTTCTTAACAAACGAACACGAACACTCCGTTCGTTTATGTTCGGTTCGTTAACAGCCCTAACCGTGGACAAGGGTTAAGGGCAAATTATGCTGTGCATCTGTATGCACCATGCATGGTGCATACGGATGCAAAACCGACGTCGTTTTATTAAAAACGCGCGTCTCCCCTTAAAAAAAAAAAACAGGTTCGATTCCCAGCAACAACATATGAACTAAAATTTCAGAATCGATGAACTATAATTCCATAATCGATGAACTAAAATTCCAGAATCTAATCTATGAACTAAAAATTCCAAAATGAATGAACTAAAATTCCAGAATCTATGAACTAAAATTTCAGAATCGATGAACTACAATTCCAGAGTCGATGAACTATAATTCCAGAATCAATGAACTAAAATTCCATAATCTATGAACTAAAATTCCAGAATGAATGAACAACATAATGTTGTTGCTGGGAATCGAACCTGAATTTTTTTTTAAAAGGGAAGACGCGCGTTTTTAATAAAACTACGTCGTTTTTGCATCCGTATGCACCATGCATGGTGCATACGGATGCATAGCATAACTACCCAGGGTTAAGCATCAATGGCTGAGTGGTGAAAATTAATAAATAAATTTAATTAACAATCGTGATGAGTTAATTCCAGCAATGGTCCTCCGACTATTGCGATTTTTCAAAATTAGTCATCGACTTTTAATTTAGAAAAAAAAAAAAAGACACTTGACTTTCATATTTGTTTCAACAATGGTCCTTCCGTCAAATATCAGTTAAAGTGGCGTTAAGTAAAGGGGTAGTGTAGTCACTTCTTTAATTGCTTTCTTCTTCCTCTTGCAAATACGTATCCAAACCTATAATATATGCCTACCACACCATCATACACCCATTCTTCTTCCTCTTGCCTATCCTTGTTGTTTTAACACTCTTCAAATTGCCAGGGTCACTTTCACCAGTACACCCATCAGAAACCCCAGCTTCCATATCTTGCACTATAGATGCAAGCCCATCATCATCCTCAAAAAAGCAAGACCTCCTTCAGTCCTTCTTGCTGTTCCTATTGCAGAGGAGTCCATATTAATAACTTTTAATTGTATCTCTCTTATTGAGAGAGATAGGGGGAGAGAGAGAAATAAGGATGAGCATGTGGAGGTGTGGAGCTAGAAATGGGGGAGGTTATAAAGAAGGTTTATGATACGATCCCACATCGGCTCCACAAGAGATTGTGGAATGGTACTTAAGTTGGGGTCAAACCTCCACTCATGAGCTAGCTTTTGTAGTGGAATTAGGGTATTTGCTTGAGTACCGTATCAGATTGGTAGAGGGATTCTGTATGAAGGAAGATTTAGAGAGAGAGAGAGACCGGTTTCAGGGATTCTGCCAAGGGGATGGCTTTGTTGTTAGTAAGGTACGGAGGGGGATTCTGTATGTGCCAAGGGGATGGCTTTGTTGTTAGTAAGGTACGGAGGGAGGGAAGCGAGCCGAGGAGAAGTCGCCGGCGTCTGATGATGTAGGACTACACTATCCCTGTACTTAAGGCCTTAAGGTCGGCGTCGGCCTTGTGACCCTGGCAAGATGAAGAAGAAACCAATTAAGGAAACGACTACATTATCCCTCTACTTAAGGCCACGACCTTAACTAATGTTTGAAAGAAGGACTATTGCTGGAACAAATCAAGTATCATTTTTGTTTAAATTAAAAGTCGATGATCAATTTTCTGGAAAATTGCAATAGTCGGGGGATCATTGCTGGGATTTGATAAAGAAAATTTTGTAAAGAAAATATAGAAAGGATGTTTACAAAATATTGTGTTTATTATTTTCAAAAAATATAAAATATCAGAGAAATTAAGAACGCGCCAACAAGGTCATCTCCAACGCCCTTCTCCTCAAAAGACAAAAATACAAAACCGCTCTAAAGAGCTTTGGCGACAATAGGCAGTTGATTCTTAAGAGTGTGACTTAAAAGCGCATATGGAATTTTTTTGGTATGGAATGGAATTAATCACACAAAGAGCAGAAGAAACCAGACAGGATTACAAACTCAGCATTGTACAACCGCGCATAAATGAGCATATAAACCGATCCTTCTCTGTCAACTCCAATTCAGCATTTCTTTATCCGGATTTACATTTGCTGTATTTTGGGTGTCTAGGGGGTCCTCTTTTCGAGTGAAGTACAATTAATTTGGGTTCTCTAGTTCTAGGGCTTTCAGTCTTGAACTCTTGATTGAGGGGAGGGCTCTGTTCGCTGAGAATGATGGCTTCGGCTGCTGCTGCTGCACCTCTTCCTTCACAAAAGGAGCTTGAGGAAATGCTCATTCAGTCTGGAATTCAGCTCTCTACACCTCCTTCATCCACTGCCGAGCTTCTCAGCCTCCTTGACGTAAAATTCTTTCTCTTTTCTTTTGCATACAAAGGTTCAATTATGCTTGGTTTGGTTTTCATTAATGGGATTTCTTCGCCAGGCAAATGATTATAAAATTTTAGGGTCTCTTTTCCTGGCTGAAAGGATCAATTCTTATGTTGTTGTTGTTCTGTCTACGTTTTATTTAGAAATGTTTATGCTACAAATGTTATATAATTAATATTATTATTTTGCTACTGAAAATTTCATAATGCATAATTAGTCTTCATTAAAACTTTGCTTATTTTTTGACATTTTGAATAAAGTAAATAAAATATTTATAATTTGTGAACTTCCCAGTATAGCCATTTCATGGATATTTTGCATCTAAGTATGGCATTTTACCCTATTTGTTTTATATGTCATTACTGTCTTTTGGACAAAATTTATAACCAAATGTATACACTTATGGATTTTATTCATATTCAGGATTCTGAAAAGCTTCATACTATTAAAGATTACAGAAAAGAGTTGGTAGGGGCTAAAGTCAGAGTTTTGGTGGCCCCTAGATAAAAGGCAAGTACTTAAGATGGGTAAATGTAATGACTGTCTTAGTACCCATTGAAATAGAAAGCTTCACTTGTTCCATTAGTACCTATTGAAATGGAAAGCATCACTTGTGCCATTGATTACAACATTTGACAATTTCCATCAATTGTTATCAGCTTGTGTTTTTGAAC